ATGCGAGTTCCACAGCGTCGTCTATGATGAGTCCCACAGCGTGGTATATGATGCGAGTTCCACAGGGTCGTATACGATGCGAGTTCCACAGGGTCGTATACGATGCGAGTTCCACAGCGTCGTATACGATGCGAGTTCCACAGCGTCGTATACGATGCGAGTTCCACAGCGTCGTATACGATGCGAGTTCCACAGCGTCGTCTACGATGCGGTTCCCACAGCGTCGTATACGATGCGAGTTCCACAGCGTCGTCTACGATGCGGTTCCCACAGCGTCTATGATGCGAGTTCCACAGCGTCTACAATGCGGTTCCCACAGCGTCTACAATGCGGTTCCCACAGCGTCGTCTATGATGCGAGTTCCACAGCGTCGTCTATGATGCGAGTTCCACAGCGTCGTCTATGATGAGAGTTCCACAGCGTCGTCTATGATGCGAGTTCTACCGCGTCGTCTATGATGCGAGTTCCACAGCGGCGTCTATGATGCGAGTTCCACAGCGGCGTCTGTGATGTGAGTTCCACAGCGGCGTCTATGATGTGAGTTCCACAGCGGCGTCTACGATGCGAGTTCCACAGCGGCGTCTACGATGCGGTCCCCACAGCGGCGTCTATGATGCGAGTTCCACAGCGTCGACTATGATGCGAGTTCCACAGCGTCGACTATGATGCGAGTTCCACAGCGTCGTCTATGATGCGAGTTCCACAGCGTCGTCTATGATGCGAGTTCCACAGCGTCGTCTATGATGCGAGTTCCACAGCGTCGTCTATGATGCGAGTTCCACAGCGTCGTCTATGATGCGAGTTCCACAGCGTCGTCTATGATGCGAGTTCCTCAGCGTCGTCTATGATGCGAGTTCCACAGTGTCGTCTATGATGCGAGTTCCACAGCGTCGTCTACGATGCGAGTTCCACAGCATCGTTCATGAGCTTATCATTTTAAATGTTTCAGCTACAGTTTTGATTTTCCGGTTTGTTATTATCTTTCTACGCTGATACCAATAGAGGTAATGTATAAATATACAGGCACTTGTGCAAAATATATTCAGCATTTAATATTTGAGTGCAGTACAGAAGTCATTCCAAACAGTGTTACAATAAGGGTGCTCATCCTGTCTGGTTTGGTGGAACACTCGTCAAAATAATCCTGAAAAAAATCCTGACATTCACCTACTTGGTGTTTAAACTAAGAAAAAATAAATGTCAACATTTTACTAATACATGTATGTATTGACATAGGACATTTGCAGAATTAGTCCTTCACCAGTCCATTGTATGTGTAGCTTTAACTTAGTAGTGACATTCACGTTAGAGATCTCGGCACAAGCCGAAACTTGTGTGTGAGCGGTCAAGACAGAGCACGGGCCAAAAAAAACTCAGTCCCGATATATACTTGGGGCTGAAACAAGGCACATGCCAAGATTTGCTGCCTGAACGCTAGTCATGACCCGAAATCACGCCCTTGGTGGTAAATTTAAGAGAACATATGCTGATTCATACTAGTATGAAATGACTATGATAGGAAATGCAGATATACTCGTACATGTATATTGTCGGATGCTGTAGTAATGATTGGAATGAATGCAAAATGTCGTCAGCGACGCATATTTTTATGTGCTGCTGCAGCCACTATTTTCTTGCAATGCTACATTGACGTGAACAAAATAATTGTTTTTCGCATCTTATTTGCCGTTCATGTGCACGATGACTCATAATATTATAACAACAAATGGATATAATTTCACTATAGCAATTATTACCATCATATGCAGATCGTTTTCCATGTTTGGGCCAAATAACAGATTGATGAATTGTGGTGTGATTTCGGCACGAGCCAAGTCGGTTCTATATGGCGCCCTAATACATGAACGCAACAGCTGTAATCCCTCTGCAAACACAAATGATTAAAAATTTCGCCGCGTGCCGAGATCCTGTAACGTGAACGTAAATGAGTTGAAAGGCCATCCATATTCTAGGCAAAATAGTAATTGCATTGTTTTTTTCAAAAAGCATGAAGGCAAACTTTGATGCAATTCAATGTCTCCATGAAGTTCAAGCCATGTACTTGTCTATGACATCACACATGATGGATTTTATACCTGTCACATTTTATTTATATAATTTGATATTTAGTTCTGGCATTCATTGGTTGATTTTGTCTTTACTCAGTGGCTAACATGTTAACAAACTGAATATTCTTCTAACATTAAATTAACATTTTTCATTGTTTATAATTCATCGGTCTCTAAACATTTTTGTTGCTGGAAATGTTTTCGATTTGATTTAAATAGATTGGAGTTTTGGTGACATGTGTTGACAGACACCAGGCAAAGTTCTTGCTATAACATATTGCTTTTTAATTTGCAGCATTTTACAATGCTTATTTGTATGTAAAATGCCGCAAACTAGACCTAGAAAACAATTTTTAAATTATTTATCAAAAGAAAGTACATACTGGTACATGTATTCTGGAAATATTTATTTCATATTTTTAGATGAAATAAACAAAAAAATATTTTATTAATGACTTGACACTGTGTAGTGTTTTCCATCTATGAATAAAATACATTTAGATCCTGTTTCTGGCCTGTATCCATTTAAATTCATCCCTGATTGCATCCTGCAAAGTGAATGTCTGAATAGCTCAAGCACAACAAGTTTTGCACCAAGTCTGAAGATTTTCAGGTAACCCACATACTCGTAATGTTGTAATTTATTTCCCAAATATGCAAATTATGTTCTAGCAATATCCTAAAAGTACAAAAAGCTCCAAATTGAGAAAAAAATTGAATTAAAATAAATTTGTTCTTCATTGTCATCAGTTGCTATGGTAATAAAATATTCTATTATAACAGACTTTGTTGATGCGTCATTGTCTGTAATTGTGCATCTCTTCTATGGTACCATATCTAAAATTAATATTCTAGATCAAGTTTCTAATGAGAATAAATTAATGTCATTTTCTATGACGTTATAGATTTGCATGTCCATCTAGTCACTATAAGATGCTTTTTGGAGCAGACACTTCTGGTGTCTAACAATCTGCAAAAATATTGTTGAAAAGGTGGTTACATAAATCTTTATAACACAGGTTATGCCTAAAATTAGTCACTGTAGGCAGGTGGTCATTAACAAAGGCAGTAAATGTTCATGCTTCATGTGAATGGGCAACTTTTGTTGTGATCCTCAAGTATTCCAACTGCTTTTCCTTGCTTCTATTGAAAAGCTGAATCATCTTGCCTTTGGGAATATTCAGTTGATGAACTA